GTCGTGTTTCGCGATGCCGAGTATGCGTTCATTGACTCTGGCTTAGAGTCTGGCGACGAAGTCGTTACCACGACGCTGGCCACCGTAGCGAGCGGCATCGGCTTGAAAAAGATTGAGTCGTCCGCTTCCTCCGCAAGTTCGAAGGAGGCACCGTGAGCGAAAACGAATCTTCCCCCAGCCGGCAGGAAGGGGCGATCGCTTGGATGGCCAAGAATTCGATCGCCGCCAACTTGCTGATGATCATTTTACTGGCCGGGGGAATCTGGTCGGCGATTACGATCCAGAAGGAAGTCTTTCCGCAATTTCAGCTCGACATTGTCGAGGTATCGGTCGGCTATCCAGGAGCGGCTCCGGAAGAAGTCGAACAGGGAATTCTGCGGCCGATTGAAGAAGCTGTCCGTGGCGTGGAAGGGATTCGCGAGATCACCAGCGAGGCCCGCGAAGGGCAAGGGACCGCACTGATCGAGCTGGTCGGCGGACAAGACCGCATGAAGGTGTACCAAGACATCGATCAAGCGGTGAATCGAATTCGTACGTTTCCGGATCAGATCGAACAGCCGGAAGTGCGGCTGCAATCGCGGCAACGGGAAGTGATGCAAGTCGGTCTGTATGGCCCTGTCGATGTCTGGACGCTGCGCAAGCTGGCCGAACAGCTGCGCGATCAGTTGACTTCGCACCCCAATATCACGCAAGTCGCGCTGAGCCGCGTTCCTGAGTATGTCACCCATGTCGAGATTCCGCGGCAACGACTGCGGGAATATGGACTGACGCTTTCAGACGTGGCTGACCGCATTCGTGTGTCGAGCCAGGACATTGCAGCCGGGGCCGTTTCGACGAGCGCTGGCGAGATTTTGCTACGAGTAAAGGCCCGGAAGCAATGGGCGCAGAAATTCGCTGATATCGAAATCGTTTCCGGCCGACGCGGTTCGGTCGTCAGGCTTGGCGATATCGCCACGATTCGGGATGGTTTTGAAGAGGTCGGATTTCACTCGCAATTCAGCCAAACCCCTTCGGTGGAAGTCGATGTCTTTCGTGTCGGTGCTCAGTCGCCGATTGACGTCGCCAACGCAGTCGAAGAAACGATGAAAGAATTCGAGTCGGTGTTGCCGCCGGGCGTGAAGTGGCGGATCGACCGAAACAATGCCGAAGAGTTCCGTCGGCGTCTGTACCTGGTGATGGAAAACGCCGCGATGGCGGTGGTAATTGTGCTGGTGATTTTAGCCCTGTTCCTGGAAGTGCGGCTGGCGTTCTGGGTGATGAT